CGCCTGTCACCTCCAGAAAGGTGTCTCGTGCCTGACAGGCACGTACCCTGCAACGATGGCCCCGCGCGTGCCACCTCAGCCTTGCCTGTAACGGATGTGGTAGGCTGACAGTGGCGGTTACACTTGCCCTGTTAGAAGTCAAAGGGCCTGAAGCAATGGAATTCGGTTATAAGGGGATCATTCTCAAGGAACAAGGTATCTTCGAACCACCTACGCAATCTTCACTCTTAGCTTTCGTTTTCCCTTTGCTTCTTGCACAAAATACTGACTTAATCATCGGAGTGTTCCCGCCAGGCAAACCCCCGGGAGTTCTTCTTCTTCCCTCTCATCCCAGGTACCTCTCAGGAGCCACGCGAGTGCCAGATATGAGTGACTGGATCGCGCTACATCATATATGATGAAAATAGTTGAAAAATACTTGTATTTTTTGTTTTTCTTTATTTAAATGGTTATATTTTCTTTTCCTTTTAATGATTTATTAATTTTTTAAAATTTAAACTAGATTGGATAAGATTTGGATATCTGCATCCTTATCGAACTCAAATCGAATCAATATTTATGAGATTAAATCAAATCTACATTTATCAAATTGAATTTGAATATATCCTGATTCAAATATGATCCACCTAAAGATCTCTAAGATGGAGACTTGCTACCAAGCAAAACTTCGATTGGGGGCGGGTGAGGGGAATTCCTATCGCTTGCCAATCACCATATGACACATGTATAGCTCAGATTTAACCTAACACTTCATTAACGTGAGATAAAGATGCTAGTAAAAAATAAAAGATATTTATTTTCTATTATGTGAAATACCTTTCCCACTCCCTTTTTCTTTGTCCCGTCCATCTCCCTCATTTCTTGCTTTCTCCCTCATCTCCTCTTTCAGTGTCTCTCCCTCCTCCCCTGCCCCCCTTCTCTTACCAATTATCCATCGCCACTAGATTGCATAAACAAAGTGTAGGTTTTCTAAAGAGGAATTAGATTGTACTTTTGAACCACTCAAAATTCAAACCCTAGCCAAGACGGAGATGGTTATTTCATAGAGTTGGTGGAAGCAATTGCAATTTATTTGGTTTGAACTTTGCATTCTTGCCACAATAATACTCACCATCTTTACTGTTGGATTTTAATCTCATTAGAGATCAAATTCAATGGGGTTTGATTGATCAATTACATAAAAAATACACCTGCGCACGCGTGTGTGCGACGCAATGAGGCACTTTAGAGGCACACTTTGCTCGCGCCCACGTGGTCCGCGTAAGAGAACTTTGACTTTTGGTGCAAGRTTAACCGTCGAAGATCTCAATGCTTCAACGGTCACGATCTGATCGGATGTGATCAAGAAACACTATTCAAATTTAACAGTCATTAATTGCTAACTACCTTTTAACAGTCGCAATATTTGAAATTGTGACTGTTCAAAGAGCCTTTTCTACACCAGCACCTTCCTCTTCTCCCCAACTCTTTAGAAATGATTTAAGGAATGTGAATCAAGCAATTAAACACAAGATTTTCGAAAATCACTCTTGTCTCTTTCTGTTCGATCTACTACTATCYCACAAAAGGTTTCTTCGACGACTCTTCAACTTTGACGGTTGCAAACTCTCACCCAAAGCTCTATTATATCCTGCGAACGAATTTGCCTATAACCCAACAATAAACTCAGCAAATCTGCGTCAAGGCAAATAACGTTCTAAAGACGATGTCTTTGAGCACACCTCAAAGCTTCTCCTCCAAGTTTCCATGACCCCATATTTCCAATGCTTCACATAAAAAGCCTATAAAACAAAAAGAAACTTACAAGAAGATGGAAATCTTCTTTATGTGGTATCATTGTGTTCCCATCTATCTTCTTGAAGTTCCATTCTTTTCTCCATGTGTTTCTTTCCTCTTAACCACTATGACTTTGTTCCAAGTTATGATCCTTCCATTTTTTTCCACTTTTGAAAAACATTTTTCAATATACTCCCTACTTCCACTCATCCACCAATCAATCATGATTTAGAGAGATATGAGTAACAATCAACCAGAAACAATAGCAAAAATGTTATGAGGAAAATAACTAGTTGGATCCAATACTGCAATGGTAGCAAAAAAAAGTGATTCTTCATCCAAGGTTCTTCATTCTTTTCTTGAATTTTTAGATTTGTTTGTACAAAACCTATCCTCATTACTTGTGATCATTATGGAGCGCCAATGGCGGTGGCTAGGGCTCCAAATGAATGGGATCGGGTTTGGTAAAGGGTATATTCGATCCAATCCGGTAAAAAACCCAACTGATCCGAATATGATAAGAAATCATTGGATTTTCAAAAGTATGATTCGAATTTGAGTATGAATATTTTATCTGACATCTAATTTGATTAGAATTATAATAAAAAATTTTAAGGTATAATATAAATAATATATTATACTAATTATATAATATACAACTATATTAATAATATATAGATAAATATAATATATAATATTTTATAACTAACGGATCAGATCAGGTCTTAGCGAATTGGATTGGGGTATATCAGATCGGGTAAAGTTTGCGTGCTTTGCTCTAAAAAAAAATCTACCAGCAACAAGATTACATCAATGTTACGGCTGAAACCCTAAATATCTTCATTTGGTTCATGCTCTTCTTCCTTACCCCTTTCCCTCGTCTCCAGAAAACTGGTCAAAATGGAAAATTCCCAATTGGTACTTTGTACTTTAGGTTTAATGTCACTTTGGTYCCCCAACCTTAAAATGCGACAATTCAGTACCTACCGTTAATAGACCATCGGTTATGCATAGCACATGACATCGTTTGTGACTAAAGACATTTGAAAGTGTCAAAATTACCTGAAAAATAAAACATTGTTCATCATCTTCTTCCTTTAAGAAGATGAAACAGATCCCAAGTTCTCTATCCAACGTTCTGTGACACACACACACACTTATGGCACGGTGCCAAGAACTAACCAAGTTCTGACGATGGCTAAAATCGCCATTGCTACAATAACTACCCCTTTGGGTTCGGGGCCTAATGAATCATCTGAATAGATTCCAGAGATGGTGGCCACTATGGCAATTGAAAAGGCATGCTTTCGTTGTGTTGTTACATTCTTTATTTAAAGTTTGTGAGTCATAGACAAATAGATAAAAACTGAAATTACCATGTTCATCAGTCCTTTGTTTGTATTGATATGTAATAAAACAAATCATTGAAGACCTCAAGCTCACAGTTGAGAGAGTCTGGAGATTAGAGACAAGTAATTCTTCCTATACACCCGGGAGCAGCCGTTGACACAGCCTTCCACTTCCTCTACACCTGCAAAATGAAATCAAAGAGATGAACATCAGAGAGAGTTCAGCTCCACTCGCACTATAATCTGCCTCGTGGAAGAGCACTAGCTTCGTCAAGACCTCCGCCGATGAGAAGTCACTGGCGGCATCTGCGACGGGGATCGTAAGGAAAGTCATGAAGGAGGACATACAGAAGGATGTGATTGATTCTGCTCTTATAGTTAGTTCTTTTTTTCTTTTTCCTCTCAAAAATGTCGGGACTTTCTTTCTCTTCTCATATTTCCCTTGATACCGTTAGCTTTTGTTTCTGTATATTGTGTTGGTTGTTCTACTCTTTCCATCGAAGTTTGATTCATTAGGCTTTTGAGAAGCACAGTGTTGAAAAGGACATTGTGGAGAACATCAAGGGACTGGCCTGGCATAGTGGCATTGTATCATCGGTCGCAATTTTGGTAAATCCATATAGTCCCTTTCTCTTTAGTCTTCACCGTATCTCATCTTTTCATCTGCGTAATAATTAAGTTGTATCATTTAATTTTATATTACCTATGAGTATTAGGAATTGAGTTATGCTTTTCATCTTTTTGAACAAGCCATTCTTTCCACTTAGGTTCTTGTGGCACTTGGGATGGCTGAAAATGATTTTTTATAATGCCACAATTTAGTTCCGGTGAAGGCTAGGTTGATGTGGAAATCGATAATGCCTTTTTGTTTTTAGTTTCGTGTTTTGTAAGGAGTAAAAGTTTGGTAGTTGGTTTTCTTTAGAGCTGATGGTTAATAAAGAAAATTAGATAACACCTGAAGGGTATTATGTCTTTTCACATGCCATTTAATGGCTGGTTCACCATTGGTATTAAATTGGTACATTTTGAAAGTTTAGGTACTAAATCATTGCATTTTAAAGTTTAGGGGATCAAAGTAGCACTAGGCCCAAAGTACAAGGTGATAATCGGGAATTTTCCCTATTTTTATTTGAGGAGGTAAACCAGGGTATTTTTGAGTGAAAATTGATAAAGTAGGGTTTTGGGGCATTTTGGATCGACTGGCCTAACTGGGCTCAAATCAAGGGATTTTGGGGTACGATCATTTCGATTCACGAGAAAGCCGAATATTCTTTTGATGAATGAGCATATGGAGAAATTTTAAGTTAAAATTTTGTATGATCAGGTTTTTGAATGTTCTAGATGAATTAGAAAGGTTTAGTTCGTGCCAACATGCTTGAATTGAGAGAATTTACGATATGAGCATTGTAACACGAGATAAAGCCCAAAATGGAATCTCCATCTAATGGATGGGCAAGTGGAGGAATTGAGTAAAAATTTAATAGGACAGGGTTTTGGAGGGCCTTGAACAACTTGACAGGGTTTTGATCAATTCAAATAAGTTTGGATTAAGGAAATCAAAGGTATGAACATTTCGTTATGTAGGAAAGCCTAAAATGGAATATTTGTTTGATGAAGGGGTAGATGAGGTAGTTTTGATATGAAATTTAATCAGGGCATGTTTGTGAGGATTCTATAGTACCCTGAACTTTGGGGGTAGTTAAGCTAGTACCTGAACAAAGTGTCAAGTTGGTCCCTGTCATTAACCGAATGTCAGTTATCTATTAAAAATGTCAAATCTACCCTTTAAAAGAAGTCATTGTTCATTGTCTTTCTACCTTGAGACTCCTCAATCAACATTATCCATATTGAAAATTTAGAATCTCCGGAGACACCATTYAGCCTACGCTACAAGACAACTAGGCATCTTCCCTTATCTGCTCCTTCTCGCTCAGTCATTTGGACCATGGATAGCACCAGATTGGGTTCAGTTTCAATTCGCTTCTCTGAATAAGGATTGGGCCAATGCGGCTCGACCGTCACCCCACTCAGACCTATGCTATGATAGAGACCGAGAACCAGCAATCTGAGTTTTGGGAGGTTCAGTAAACCTTATTAATCGAATTCATACGGTAGTAGGTTTTAATCTCGGGACAGGTTTCATAGTTATTGCTTCAAGAACCTCTTGATTCTTGATTCAGACCAATTCCTTAACCTTGAGAGGACGGACTTGATGGTAGGATTTTTTATGTCCAGATCAGATTTCAGGCTTTATATGAGGGCTGGGCTCAGGTGCGAATCTGAACATTCTCTATTAATAAAAAGGTAAAGCTTGGCACGGCCCGGCTCATGAAGAGCTCTACTCTAACTTARAGGGGAGAAACTCAGGTTATCTTGTAAAATAGGGCAGTCAATAGGGTAGGTCTGGGCTGGATCAGGTAGATCCAATCTTAAACCAATAAGAAAGCACACAAACCCGGTCCAACCTGGACTTTGAAGGTTTGTAAGTTTTAAGCCTAGAAAACCCTATTATTACCTGAGTTTATCAGGTCTGACCCGGTAAGAGTTGAATATGCCTGACAAGCCTTTGATATTTTTGACAGAAAAAAATGCTAATTGTTTTGCTCCCTCTCTCTCTCTCTTTCAAAATTTCTTATATATCCCCTAGAAATGATAACTAAACCATGAGAAACATATAGAAAATGTTGGGGAGATATTTATGTCATGTGCTGGTCAGCACGTATAAAACTAGTCCTGACCCTATTGTAAATTTGTAACCTCAACTTAAAATGTAGACCAATAGATAATCAGGAAATTGAACCAGACCCGGGTCGAGAATCGGGCCGGGTGAGGAAAAATAAAAATGAAAGGAGGGACAAATTTAAATGAATTTGTATAAATATTGTTGGCTACAAGCACATGAGGAACCATGTATTTGTCATTTGCTTGAAGTAGGTAACAATAGAGGGATGACTTCAAGTATGTCCTACCAACCACAATCTGCACCAGCTAATCCGGTATTAGAAAACCATTTATTTGGCCAAGTAGAACCTTTCAACCCCAATTGATGGACGTTTAGTAAACCCTAAACCACATATCAGGGACCTGTTATCTCCAATTCACATCAAGATAATGGATCTTTATGAACTGTTTTTATCCTAAATAGGTGCAGAATTAAGCTCAAACATGCCCAGATTATGATATTGTCACTAATAAATAAGAGCCATTGACATTTTTCATTAGCTTGGGACTTGAGAGTGCAGAAGTCTCCATGAATATTGTTTGTTTGTTGGTCAGATGGATTTAGGCACATTAGCCTCCACTCTTGTCTATGCCTTTCTGTTTGGCACAATCGTTTGCCTGAGGCTATGGCTGATGAAGTCATTGCAGAGCAAGGGAAGGCTGCCTCCAGGCCCACCAAGATGGCCTATCTTTGGCAACCTTCTTCAATTGGGCCCCCTCCCACACAGGGACTTTGCTTCCTTCTGTGAGAAGTATGGGCCGTTGGTCTATCTTCGACTTGGGAGTGTTGATGCTATCACCACGAATGACCCCGAGATCATCCGTGAAATACTTCTCCGACAGGATGAAGTATTTGCTTCTCGACCTCGAACCTTAGCTGCAGTACACCTAGCTTATGGATGTGGTGATGTAGCATTGGCTCCATTAGGGCCACAGTGGAAGAGAATGAGGAGAATATGCATGGAGCACCTACTGAGCATCAAGCGGCTCGAGTCATTTGCGGACCATCGTGCTCGCGAAGCTCACCATCTCGTTCAAGACGTATATGATCGGTCTCAAACCGGGAAGCCTGTTAACTTGAGACAAGTCTTGGGAGCCTTTTCCATGAACAATGTGACAAGAATGTTGCTAGGGAAGCAATATTTTGGCATTGAGTCAGCCGGTCCTCAGGAAGCAATGGAGTTCATGCATATCACT